AAAAAAAAAAAAAAAAAAAAAAAAAAAAAAAAAAGGTGTGTTTTACAACCGAAATAAGTTTATGACCATCAGATAAAGGTACAATCAAGCCACACAAGGACTTTGCTCCTACTATGTACTTAGAAGATAAACGCCTTATGACGTCAAATAGTCACGTATATTTTCCGGTCCGTATTTGTACAATGATTCCTAATGATGATCAAGTTTTTCACAACTAGTTTTGTGGTACTTTCTCGATTAAGGAACGAGTTTTTCTTAATGATGTTGGAATTTATTAATGATGCCGGCATGATTTGAATTTAATAGGCTTATGCTAAATTCCTTATGTTGGACGACATTAAAATTGTGATAACAGCTTTGCGCTGGCAGTATAATAATTATCGATTTAGGAATTTAAATTAAGAATCCGGATTCTTGCGGATTTGTATACCTGGCAGATCGGACTCTGAAGAGGTTTTAGCCATTATGTCCCGGATTCTGAATGTGAATGCGCAGTTTGAACACCAGCATGGTTCATAATGAGGGGTTTTCAATTTTGCGTTCACGAGATGGCTTGAGTGAAGTGTTAGGTAGGTAATTCTATTGGACCAAAGACCAAAGTCAAACTAGCGCCTCCCCTGTCGTGAAAACTAAACTGCATGCCAAATTATACTTGTACCTTTTAACTCATAATTATTATTCTATTGTTCTAGATTAAGAACATTGGATCAGTGCGCGGCGTGGCAGGCGCTATCCGGCATGAGATCGAGCGACAAAAGACGATCCTGGACAACGGGGGTCACATTATTAACGAGACCCGAGCGTGGGACGCGACCGAACGAGTCACCATACCTATGAGAGACAAGGAGGTCGTGCAGGATTATAGGTGAGTTTCCAATTAACTATAGGTAGTCCAATAAACAGTACTGGGGGCTTGGTACAAGTTTGTTTTACGATTATAATAATTAGAAACGAAACCGGGCTCTGATTGGCTGGCTCCAATGAACCAACCAATCAGAACGCCGAACGCGGTCTCGTTTCGATTACTTTAAACGTAAAATAAAGTCGTACTACGGCCTCAGAGATATTTAATTTAAATTCTACTTTTAGCCATTATGTTAGACTTGGCAATAGAGGATATTTTAGAATAGAAGAACTTTGTAACAGTACTAGTAACAATTCCAAAGTGCGTGCTATTACGGAAAACCCACTAACACAAATTGTCGATTTATAACTACACTGTAAACAATGAAGCGAAGCTATTTCTGTCACTTAATTAACATTTGACTGTTTACGTTAAAGCCGCTATCGAGTCATTATTCTATTTAATTATTGTGAACGCACTTGCTAATTAATATTTCTGCTTGTTCAGGTACATGCCGGAACCGAATCTGCCACCGTTACGTGTCAACTTGAAGACCGACATAGAGCACAGAGACGTACTAAGCGTACCTCTAATACAGGACAAGATACCAGAACTTCCAGAACAATCCAGAAAGAAACTCATCGAAGACTTTGGACTCCGACCAGAAACATCAATCCAACTAGTCAATGAACCAACACTACTAGACTATTTCCAAAATTTAACTTCAGACAAAACCAGGAATCCAAATAAAGTAGCAAACTTTTTAATCAATGATCTTTTGACCGTACTTAATAAAAGGAAGCTAAGTGCAGATGATTGTCCCCTTACTGTTAAGCAACTGAAAGAACTGACTGACATGCTTTTGAGTAAAGACATTAATTTAGAAATTTGTAGAAACGTTCTAGATGAACTGATCGTTATATCTGATGATGATGTATCTCCTTTAGATGTAGTCGAAGAAAAGGGATGGAAACTTCAATCCAATGAGGACGAACTAACAAAACTTTGTATTGAAGTCTTAGAAAATAATCCTAAGTTGGTGAAACAATATAAAAGTGGTAAAACCAAAGTATTTAAAGCACTTTTAGGAATATTATCTAAGAGCAACAATAAAGTTGATATGTCTGTAGCGTCTAAGATTATGGAAGGGTTATTGAAGAAGTGAAAATAAATTTTAAATAATATATGGTTTTTTATTTCGTGTGTCGTGGTTGTACAAAGTATTTATCAATGTAAAATAACAGTGCATAATAAGTTTTCTTGAGGAGACGCTAGGATAAGATTAAGGTGAATATGGACGAACGACAACGAACTAATAGTTTATTGACGAACTACATCCTGAACTGACATACTCTGACAACCAATATTATTATTATCTAAATATCTACAAACAAAAACATTGTATTTCTGGAAGATGTCTATTGCAAATTCAATGCTATCTACGGATTCAACCGAACACTGCATACAATAATATAACCGTACCTGTATTTAAAAAATCCTACAAGGGCTTCCGCAGGGCACGATATTAGGACCAATCTGATATTTTTCCAAGAGTATACAATGTATATGCATATATAATATACGTGATCATATATATATATATTACACATATGATCGCGTAACAATACTCTCGATCTATTATATCGTGTTTTCACTGAAGTAGCCCTATTATTGGTGCTGTATACAATTTGATACGTTGTTCTTTTCAAAAATCTAGACACAAACTGAGAAATATTTTGAAAAATTTTATTAGTTTAGTAGAAACAAAATATAATTAAATTTCTACCAAAAATGTTGTTTTACTATTAGTATCACTGAGAAAGCATTAGAACCCAAGATAGTGAACCGAACCAATGTGTCTACTCATCGCAAGGTAAGAAAATTCATTTTAAATCATATTAAACGATAATTAGAAACGAAAGTGATATTATTTGAATAGCTTAGAATTTTTTACTAGTCGGTATTCTGTTTTGGTTCT